GATGGATGAATGGATGGATGAGTGAGTGGGTGGATGGATGGAGTATAGCAGGACCAATCTGACTTGGCCCTGCCTCTGGTTTATTTCTTCCCTAGGAAGAAAGGGAGGAGGTAAGAAAGTTACATTTTGGGGGTGTTTTTCTCCAAAAGTTGTTCCTTTCCACTTATGTTATTACATACCTAGCTAGAAAAACAATTTTGATAATGGCAACTGCATTAGTAAAATAATGTTCAGCAAATAGAAGAACCACAAGTAATAGTGAAATATTTATATGACTTGAGGCAAAGATTGCCCTAGAATAAATCAAAACAGAGATCAACATTACCAAATGCTAAAGGAGATCTCCCAGCACTTCTGCTCATCTTGGCTAATCAGGGTCACTTACTCACTTCTGCCATCACAGAAAGCACCTTCTCTATTCTAGGTCCTATTCACAGTGCAGAGTTCCTAGATGACAAGACAGGGTCCCTAGCCTCAAGGAGTATGCAGTGACGAGGAGACAGAGGAGCACCCCGGTGCAGCCAGGGGACAGAGGAGAACCCAGCAGGGGTGCGGGGGCCACAGTAGTTCTTTAGCACCTTGCTGGTGCAAGATAGGCCCTGGATGGCCACAGCTGAATTTACCTCACATCCTCTAGCCAGAGCAAATCCGCCCCCCAAGAGCAGCACGATGCCCCAGGGCACTTTCTCCTGGACCACCTTCCAGGTCAGCAGTGGTGGGGGGTAAAACGGAGTTATCCTCTCTGAGGAGAACAATGAAAACACACATGTGCCAATGCTGTATTAGTTCACGGAGACATCATCAATAACAGCCTATAAGGACATGGTCTGAAATTAGCTGCTCTTTACCATAATGACCACACCTCTGGCTGGCAAGGATATGGTCCGATTACCACACACGCCTAGCAGCACGGTAATGCGAACAGTCTTTGGTTTGGCACACGAGAACTGGGGTACAGGCTAGAGGTGCAAGGAGGAAGAGGATTCACCAGAGACAAGGTGGGGAGCAGAACAGGCGGATGTACCAAAATACACTGCAGCAAGCAGGTCAGGAGAGATCTGCCATGGCATGTGGGTCACCTCTGTGGCCAGGAATCGAACTCATGGTGCAGTGGCTGCAGACAGCTTCACAGTGCTCTGCCTTAACCTGTTGCACCAGCAGGGAGGACCCATAGGAACAGTCTTTTGAAAAGCAATTTGGAAGAAGGTTTAAGGACCATTCAGTCATCTATACTCTCATGCCCCTGCAACATGATTCCCATTATTCTAAAGAAGAAACACTCTGAAAGACAAAACTATGGACAGGAAAATGGCAATTTATAATAGTCCAAAAAATGAAACAGAATGTTCCATAACAGGAGAATGTTCACTGCCCCTCTGATGCAGTACTATGCAGTTAACAGGGGTAAATGTGAACTCTGTGACCACAGCGAAAAATGTTCGCAGTATAACCCCCGTGAAAACATAAAAACAGAAACAGGATAAAAATTGCATGTAGGGCCCTCCCTGGCAGCGCAACAGGTTAAAGCACAGCACTGTGAAGCTCGCCACATCTGCTTCAATGAAAGTTCGATCCCTGCCCCAGAGGTGACCCACATGGCACAGTAGACCTCTCCTGTCTCGCCCACTGCTCCCCTCAGCAGTGTACTTCATCAATCAGCCTGTTCTGTCCCCCATTCTGTCTCTAGTGAAGCCTCTCACCAGAGAGGCTCTCTGACTTGTACTCCAGTTCTGTATGCATAAATAAATACATCTTTTTAAAAATATCGCATGTGTTGCCTTTTGCAGCAACATGGATGGAGCTGGAAGGGATCAGGCTTAGTGAAATAAGCCAGAAAGAAAAGGAAAAATACCAAATGGTTTCACACATAGCAGGAGTATAAAGGACCCGGGGAGAAAATAATAATAATGAACAACTATATACCAGAGATATTTTATAGGGTGGAGTGGGGAATGGGATCAAAAATGGTGGAGGGAGGGAACTGCACTGGACTATGGTGATGGCACAGGGTTATTTGGTGATGGGAAGCCCATGGGGATGACAACTGAGATGGAAAAAGGCACAAAATGATGTAAATATAAACTATTATTATAAATAATAATAAAAAATAAAATTAAAAATCCTGCATGTGTTTTGACATTAGCTAAGTTGTATCTATACATACACAGATGAGGAAAAATAGAAGAAAAAAAAAACAACTAGGGTCACTCTGAGAAATTTAGAACACTTTTCTACTCCTGTTGGAACAGAAATTGATTTCAAGTATTTGAGAAGCAAAAGAGCTTTTGCACACCCAGGGAAGGGTTGACAAATGCCCTCTCCCAGATGTCTGTAATCCAGACAGTCCTCTTTTCAAGAGGGGGTTTCTCCTTCCTGGGCCCAGGGAATTTCATGGAGATCCACAACTGCCAGGACTCCAACACTAGGAAGGGGGGCCAGCATGGGCCTTACCTTCCTCAGTCTGACTGCAGAAGTTGAACTTGGGCTTCTCAGAAGGCACAATGAAGAGCAAGATGGCCACAAAGATGGCCACAGTGGCGTCAGAGATGTACCTAGGTGGGGAGGAGCACGTGGGAGTTCAGCCCAGCACGCTGCCGTGGCTGCCACTGACCCAACCTGACTCGGCAGTCCCGGCTGTGAGTGCTCCCGGCTGTGAGTGCTCCTGGCTGTGAGTGCTCCTACACGAAGAAACAGACTTGACTGAGTATGCAAACAGGAGCCCCAAAGCCCAAGGTCAGGGTGGTGGGCAGACTAAGTCCTGGCTGGGAACCCAGGGACCCACATTCCTGGCCTGGTGCTGCCCCCTAAGCAACTCACAGCTCTCAGTCTGCATTGCTCCATGGGTGAACCTGGTGACCTCAAACTCTGGGCTCACCAGTATCCAGAAGGACTTTGGAGTCTGACCCACAGAGACCATCCAAATGGAATAAACACCAGTGGGCATCTGATTCCCTATCTGGCCTTCTAAGATCTCATCACTCTACCTTTCTCCCATTCTGGCCACACAGCAGCTTAGCCAGGGAATCAGCTAATATAACTCGTGTTGTTAGGAGGGAAGGATGTCCTGAAGGAAATCTGCAGTTTTGTGGACTCCACCCCTTACTCCAGTAAACTACAACTCCCAGCAATACCATGGAGAGATCTGTGAGGATGTAGGGCGGAGCTAAGTAGGCATTCTGGGACTTTTAGGGAGATATATATATGAGGGAGCCAAGTTAGATGCTCTCGGTCTGGATAGTGTGGCTGGTGGCTGGTTGCTTGGTTCTTGATGAGCTTTCAGTGTGTTACTGGAGTTCCAAGTCAGTGGAGCTGGTAGGAGGTTCTAGTTAACTTGTATCTCTCTCTCTTTCTCTCTTTCCCTGGGTTATACCTTTTCCTTCCCCTTTTGTAAATAAACCTATTATTGGCATTTTTGTGTGTGCCTGCAGTACAATTGAATTTTAAGTGCATGGGTGAGGACCCACAGACAGGCAACCTAGTTCACATTGGGGTGCCCTGTAACAGTGTGCCTAGCGTCTCTGTCTAAAGAAGCTTCTGGACTCCTAGGAGTATCTTTAAAGGGATTCACCCAGATCTGAAGAAAAACAAGAAAGGAAATGGCAGAGCAGATTTGGAAACCGAAGTTCTGGGCACCCCATCTCTAGCCCACCCAACAAGTCTCTACCCCAGGCCCACCCCCTGCCCAGCCACATCTTTTCTGTGGCCTATTGGGGCCGAAGGAGCCAAGGAGCACCCCCATGGGCTTGTCATGAATATTGACAAGAAAAAAAAAATGACCGTGAAACCAACAGGCGCTGAACAAAAAGACATGTTCCTGCCACTTACGTTGTCTTCTCGCCCTCGGCTCGGAGGAGCGACAGCCAGCCGGGCATGAAGCCGGGATCCCGGGAGAACCACAGGCCCACCAGCAGGAGGAAGCAGAGCAGGACGTTGATCTCGGCAAAGGACAAGGGCCCCAGCTTCCTGTACTCCTCCTGCAGCAGCTCGTAGGCGGCCTGCTCATTTGTCTTCCTCTCCAGCCTGCAGCTCCAAGCCTTCCTAAAACTAGAGGAAGCAAAGAGGAGAAAACATAAGGCAGGTGGGTGACCTCAACCCCTGTGGGATAGAAGTCTGAAAATGGGGAAACGGGGTGCATAGGAGCATGGAGGGAGCAAAAATAACAAAACTGAGGCCACCACTGGCAAAGGGGTCCTGGCAGGTACCCATTGTCCTGGAGACTGGCTGTCTACATCATCTGAGACAGGGGCCATGAGAAGTTGTGGAACTAGTTCCAGGTAAGACTAGGGCTCCCTCACATGCTCCCCTAAGTCTTCCTCTTCCATCATGGCAGGAGCTGGGGGGGGGGGTGTCTGTGTTCTGAGGAGCTGAAGGTGTAGGCTTAGGGATCTGGAAGACTCTAGAGCTAGTAGAGATGAGGCATAGAAGGAATCCAGCCTGAGCTCTGTGCTGGGATGGGCTCCCTAGGGACCAGAGCCCACTGGTAGGCACAGCCCACCCCTAGGTCCCCACAGGACCTCTCCTAGAGGGGTATTGGCTTGAGTAAGAAGGAAGGAGATATTCTGGGAGAGGTAGAGAGGTCCCGAGGGATTCTCTAATGGTGGCGTGCAAATGTTGCGAATACTGTCAGCCTGAAGGTAGTGGACAAGGCCAAGGAGCCCTCCTTTGCTGGAGGGCTTTCTGGCCCTAAGTCAGACTTCTCAGGAAGGAAGAGGCTGGCAGGACAGGTACTGACTCCTGCAGCCAGTGCCTGACATGACCAGGCTCTCAGAGGGTGAGGCCATGTCGGTGACAGGCCTATAGCACGGGGACACAAGGACACGGCCCTCAGGTGCTTGGGTCAGGAGAGCAAATGGAAGCCAGAATCTCTGCTGGACAAGCGGGTGAGGCTGTGCATTCAGATGGTCAGCTGTTGGGGACACCCTCCAGGTCATTCAGTGACTCTGAAGGTGTGGGAGGCAGGGGGTCTTTCTGCCCTTGACCCCTGGTATGGCAAAGTCTGCATTCTATCTAACAAGTCCCAATCTGCTGCCACCTGTTGCTTTGGGGACCGTGGGACTGGGCCTGAGGGTCCAGGTTTCCAGGAAAAGGGGCAATGGTGCTGCTCTTATCTGCCCCTCTGGTGCTGTCTCCTCAGCACAGGGGCTGTGACCCTGGGGCCTGCATCATCAATGCAGTCACCTGACGCTGGCACCCCCACCCCACCCCCGAGCCTTGCTGATGCCTCCTGGTCTTCAGGACCTTCTTAAACAATACTAAGGCCTCATGAACACTGGTTGTTATTATTACTACTCCTTGGTGAGAAGACACAGACGTCTGCTGCCACCCACTGCAGGTTCCGGCAGATTGCCCGAGGCCTGTCAGATGGACATGCATCAGGGAGCAGGACTTTGGTTCTGGAGCAGGTTTGAAAAACAGGGCAAAGAGCTGCCATCAAAACCAAGCTGTGGCCCTCCCTGGTGGCACAGTGGGTTAAAGCGCAGCACTGAGAAGCTAAAGCCATTTCCGTAAGAGTTCAGTCCCCACCTGCCCGGGAGGTGACCACATGGCACAGCAGACCTCTCTTGACCTGCCTGCTGCTCCCCTCAGCAGTGTACTTCGGCCTGTTCTGCTCCCCACTCTGTCTCTGGTGAATCCTCTCACTGCCCCTGCACCTCTGGCCTGTACCCAGTTCTGTATGCACAAATAAATAAATCTTTAAAAAAAAAAAAATCAAGCTGCGTGGCAGGCGCCAGGGAGCCCTCCACCTCCATGTGGGTCTTCAGTGCCAAGATGCCAGCGGCTAACCTGTCACTAGCTGTTTGGATGATGTGTAGCGATTTTGTAATGCCAGTATTCAAGAACAGCTTCTCATTCAAAAGAAAACTTACCAAAGCACCCTATGCTCCCCATTATTCATGGGACTGGGGGGAACTGTTGCCTCTCAGTTCCAAGGCCTCTGACACTTTGGCCCTGTTTTTCACTTGCTCGAAGTTCCCTGTGAATCAAGACACTGAGCACAGCTCACAGCTGCTCACAGCTAAGACTCTAGCATCCCAGTGTGAGAGGGTCACCTTTGTACCATAGATAATCCTCTGTCTTTAAAAAAAAACAACTTCTTTTAGGCCTTTGGCAGTCACACATCATGGTTTCTGTCCAAAGTCTGGCTGCCATCAGAGTTGACTCTGGTGCACTTGCCTGTGTGCAGGGAACAGGAAGGTAAACTTTCCAGAACCTGGCATGCCACCGGGTACATTGCAGGCATTCAGTAAAGGCATGGGTTGGGGCTGATTTGGACGAGAGCAGCCAAGCCAAGCAGCCTGGTACCAAGGGACAGGACCACGACCTGCTGAGGAAGCCCCGGGGGGCACAAGCAATGCTTCTAAGAAGGAATAGGGGTGTGGAGGTGGGTGGCTAAGCAGGCAGCACTGGAGATGGTCTTGGAGGTGAAGGACTCAGAAAGTAAGAAGGCAGGGAATGGCATTTCAGGAGGAGAGAACAGCATGGGCAAACCTAGGGAGCAGCCTGGAGTGGCCAGAAGAGGGGGTGAGGGGGGTCGGCAGCAGAGGGTGCAGAGCAACAGAGGGGGTGCAGGGACAGTCAGGGCCAGATGAGAAGAGCTCGGTGGGCCCGTCCACTGGATCCAAGGGTTTCGCTGCAGGGGCGTGGCGTGAAGAGACTCTTCCATAAACTGTTCAAACTTACCTCAATCGCAGATAAACACACTGGAGCCACAACCAGGCAAGCAGCAGCATGATCAGCATGTTGGGGAAGGCAAAGCCAAACCAAGAGGCAAAGTTCACGATGTCTTTGTTGTCAGGAAACAATCTGAAGGGAGAAGCGGTTCCCGTCGCTACCTGCTGCAAGACTGGGCAGACCAGGTCCAGCCCCACTGCTGCAGGCCGAGACCTAGGGTCCCGTCACCCATGCCCACCATCGGGCATCACCCCAGTCAAGAGGAGGGCCCCACTTTGGCCATATCCTGGTCAAAGCACAAAACAAGCTGAGGAGTAACCGAGGGACTCGCCCATGGGCCCAGGCCCCTCTGAGAATCTCATGGAAGTTATAGCCCTTCACACAGCAAAAATACACCTCAGTACACCAGGCTAGGAGCCTTAGCAGGGCCCTCAGAACCTCACCCCGTGTTTCTGCCAAGGGAAGGGATGCTCTTAGGAACCGAGCCTCACAAACTTCCGAGGGCGGGGCCAGACCGCAGTTCCTGGAGGCTGGAGGGGGGTCAGTCCCCTCCAGAACCCGCCTCCCACCCGGGAGCCCAAGGGGTCAGGGCAGACCCAGAGCTTTCCCCACTCAGCCCAGGCAGGCTGCTTTCCCCAGGCTCTTTCCCCTAGGGTCAGGGAGGAGAACAGCCGCAAGCTGTCCTTACAGGAAACACGCCCAGGATCAGCAGCTGCTTGCTCGTTGGCACTCAGGTATCGGCGTGCCAGACCACTGCCCAGGGAGCTTGTTGCTTGCTTTGCTTCCTACCTTCTCTCTCACCAGAGTCTGAACACATCTTACTAATGCATTTGCCAAGACCCCCGTGGAAGGCTCCAGGCGTCTGCTTCCCATAGCTGACCCTGACTGTCCCACGGCAGGACCCATGTTTTCTCTCTTCTGTGAGCCCAGTCCCACTTGGCATAAGGCCAAGCACAGAACTGCGCTCCTCAAGGCCTGTGTCCCTTTGTGGCCAGGCTGGAGGGTTCCAGACCACTTCTGGGGCTCCACGAGAGTGTCCGTCACCTCTAGGGCAATTAGAGGGACCATGGTGGGTGAACTGCTGAGGCAAGAGTGTCCTAGGCTCTGAGCCTGGTGCTGTCTGTAGGACCAGCACCGCTAACAGCCAAAGTCGGTGATCCAGCTCTGACGGGCATCTTCAGGGTGTCTGTTCTCCAGGACCCAGCATCCAGAGCTACACTGTCTTTTCCTATGTCTTTAGCTCAGACTTCAGCTCATGTCCTTTAGCTCTGAGAAAGAAACCGGGCCCAGGGAAGGAAGGCAGGACCTGCTGCAGGGCAAAAGTAACTAGGTCTGTGGGACATCAGCTCCCACCCGAGGGTCCTGAGTAGGAGCCAGGGGCTGGGACACAGAGGCTGATGGAGTAAATGTTCCCCCTCCCACCAGACCCCCAGCTCCAGGACCCAGCTAAGGAGCAAGGAGTAGTGGGTGTAGCCCAGGGCGCTGGTTGACCCCAGAAGGTGCGCTGGAGACTCACTCATGCATCTGGCCAAGGAGCACCACGTTGGGCCCGGTGCCCGTCAGGGTGGCTGTGCCGCCGATGCTGGCTGCGTAGCACAAGCACAGGTTCAGGGCTTTGTGCACATTCTTGTTGTCACTGTCCTCCTGCTCGCTGACCGCAGGGCCTTCAAAAATCACTGGGTTCCCTGTGGTGAGCACACTGTGGTGAGCTGAGCCCATCCGGGAACCACCGCCCAGCGCCAGCTCCTGACCCAGCCCCTGCCCTAAGGCTCACACACACCTGCTCTCCCAACTCCCTCCAGGGCTGTCTGAGCCTCAGGTCCAGAGCTATGGCCTGGCCTCATCTGGCTTCCCACACAGGGCCACCTCCCAGGCCTCCCCTAGGGTAATTCCCTTAATGCTTATGCAAATCCAGCCATGTTGGGGAGACCCCTTCTTTCTGCTTTTTCACTGTTGCAGCTATTCCATCCACCTGGGGTTTCCAAAGCCAGCTCAGAATACACACACACACACACACACACACACAGGCTCTTCTCAGTAACGCGTCTGGCTTCTGGCACCCCCTGGTTTCCCCTGAGTCAGATGACTGGGCGCCTGTCTAGGCTCCTGGGCCTCCCCCCACAGTGAGAGTGTGTTTGCTCCATCTCTGTGGCCCCAGACCTGACCCAGGGCTGGCAACCAGCCAAAGGAGCGCCCCTGGGGGTGGGGTGTCAAACAAGGCCAAGAATCAAGCAAGCATTCCCTGTCTCCCGAGGTCATGCCTATTGGGGCACAAACGTGAGACAACCAACCTCAGTTCCTGTGGGGCCAGAGAGCAGAGGGATGGGGCCTGCTGGGACATCCTCCCTGAGGAGGCGTGTCAAGGGGTGAGTGGCACCCGAAGCATGCCCAATCATCAAATGAACACACGTGGAATTCTGATTGGCAGGACCTGAGGGTGAGACCTTGCTGTAAGCTCTCCTAAAGGGTCCCACCCACTTCCACAGGAATGACATTGCTAAAATTGATCAAAAACAGCACTTTCTAAGTAAACTCTCTATGTGCTTGCTTAAAGGAGCATTCCGGGAAGCTGGGAGGTGATCCGAGCTGTGGACCAGAGGGGAAGGCTGCCATCTGAGGCCCAGGCGGCCTCCTGGCCAGGCTCTCACCTGGCAGCTCGCTGGCCTTGCCCTTGTCCACCAGCTCCAGGGCCCCCAGGCCGGCCTCGGGGGCTGTGCTGGTGGCTGTCCTGGTGGCCTCCATCTGCTGCAGCATGGCCTCCACAATGGGCACCATCATGGCCGTGGCGGCCGTGTTGCTGATCCACATGGACAGAAAGGCCGTGACCCCCATGAAGCCCAGCATCAGCCTGCAAAGGAGGGGCAGGGAGGAAAGCCAGAGAGTCCCCTAGTCCTTAGAAAGGAACTGGAGCGAGCGAGCTCCCCGGCAGCACCCCAATAGCCAGTCTCAGATTGGCTCATCTAGGAGGGGACTGCAGCTTGTGTGCCCCACCCCCACAAGCCCCCTTCCCCTTTCTTCATTACTACTGGTGTCTACGCCGCTGATACTGGTGTCTATGCTGGGTCACTACAAGGCCTTCCTCAGACCCCACCATGGTTCTGAGCTCCCCATCTAGCAGGGGAAGCACCAGCATCCAGACAGAGTTGGCCCTGGAGTGACCTGGGTGGAGCAGCTTTATGCGCAAATGGTGCCAACTTTCTACTTCTATCTAGAAGATTTCCACCCGCCCAGCCCTGGCTTCTCTCAGGAGGGCAGAAGAGCAGCTCAGATCCAGCTGTGGGGTAGGGCGAGCAGGCAGGGCCAGGGGAGAAGGACCTCCTTCCTGATGGCCCCCTGCCCACCAGTTCTCTGCACATACCTGGCCCCTCCACTCTGCCGTGGACCAATCAGACAAACAGTATTTGACGAAATGTGTTCTCTTCACCTATAACCCCATTTCCACCCATGCCCCACCTCTGCCAGCTGCCTAGAGAACTCCGCGTGGTCCCTTGAAGCCTCTCCAGACATGTTCCTTCCCTGTCATAGCAGGTGGGTGACCACACCCTCCTCTGTCTTCCTTCCCTCAATAGTCATCACTGGCTGGATTCTGGGACTTGTTTCCCTGGTGCCTGACTCCTTAGACCATGAGCCCAGCAAGGGTCTGATTCTCCCTGGTCCCCGTGCACAAGGGCAGGAACATTAGGCGTCGGTCGGGGTGGGGCTGAGTGGGACACGGTGCTCTCAGCTGCCATGCTCTGGGAGCATGCTGATGTCACAGATTCACCTCATGGAGTTACAAGAGCAAAGCCTGGGGTCCAGGTTGGGACAAGAGTGAATAAACAATGCTTTGAGGCATCGAGCAGCCCGACAGACAGTCCACACCAGGACAGGCGGTGTCATGACACCATAAGCCAAGCCCAGGGGAGCCGGGTGTCAGGAAGGGGCAGGGAAACAGGGGTGGGCTTCCCGGCCTTGGAAGGGAAGCCCTTAGGGACACTCCAGCAGAGACCCTCGGCGCTGACCGAGAAAAACTGGCCACCGGGGGCTCCCAGAAGCAAGAGTTCTGAGCCCCCTTAAGGTCTCGTGTTTCTAGAAAATGCAATGGTTTTTGATTTGAGTCTGTAAATAAATCACTGGACCGCCTGACTCCAGGAAGGGCATCAGCTCAGAAAGCCACAAAGCCCTCTGCTGCGGGCACCGGTGCTGAGACCAGGGTCTGCCCATGCTGACAGGGACGTCCCAGGAGGGATTTCTGTGACAAGCGCTGCCTCCCCTTGGCCTGGCTGGGATGCACCCTCGCTGAGGGAGTACACGGACTCTAGGAGAGTTAACCTGAGTTCCCAGTACAGGGCGAGGGCTTCAGAGGGGCCACGTCCAGTCAGTCCCCTCTTGCTTCTGGGATCCTCCGGTGGCCAGTTTTTCTCAGTCAGCGCCGAGGGTCTCTGCTGGAGTGTCCCGAAGGGCTTTCTTTCCAAGGCCGGGAAGCCCACGCCTGCTTCCCTGCCCCTTCCTGACACCCGGCTCCCCTGGGCTTGGCTTATGGTGTCATGACATTGCCTGTCCTGGTGTGGACTGTCTGTCAGGCTGCTCGGTAGCTTAACCCTCTCTGCCGCCAACCCCTGGTGTTAGAAGGTGGGTGGTAGCAGTGATGCGACTGAGTTGTGAGTGTTCAGTGCCATAATACATGAGCTCCAGGTCTGGTGCCTGGGGCGCCGTGCGGACTCAATGCACCAGCTGTTGTTTCAGGCTATGCCAACTCTGTGGGTTGGTTGGAAATAGCCTAGAATTGTCGGGGGAGATCTTGGGGCAGGGTGAAGCACAGAGTGACTAGGGGAACAGGAGGCCAGAGCTTCTGTGAAGGGGAAAGGGTATGCCAGCTTAGGAGGGAGGTCTGGCTGCTGCCCCCAGAGCTGGGCAGCCGAGCCACCTCTATCCTGCTTTCCCCACGAGTGTCCTGCCAGGGATGGTTTGACCCAGCCATTACTCACCTTGTCCCCACAGCCCCTCCAAAGTCCTAGAAGCTTTCCTCAAGGTTGCTCACTGTGCCCCACCCCTACCCCCCAGGTGTCTAGTCTTCCCCCACCAGGCCCACCTGCCTGTCAAGCCCAAGTAAACTGAAGGTCAGTGGCCCCAATCCCGCTCCCAACTGTGCCACAACCCCACCCCAGCCCCAGGGCCCTGAGCAAGAGAGAGAAGGTGCAATTACTGTGCAGGCCTGGGCCCCACCCAGAGCAGCGTACGCAGGGCAATCCTCCTGTGCAGTCTCCAGCGTTCCACGGCCACGGCCACGATGAGGCCACCCAGGAATAGCATGTTGGTGTCCTTCATGTACTGGACACACACCTGGAGGATGGCAGGGAGGCCCCATCAGGAGGCCCCTGGTCACACACTGCCTGGGCCCAGGCCACCCGGGTCCCCAGAGATAGGAGGAGACCAGATGTTGGGACCTCTTAGAGTGGGGATGGAGGATCAAATGGCAGGTTCCCTGCCCAAGGGATGCACAAACAGGGAACAGGGTTTATCTGGTCACGTAGGGCCTAGACAGCTCAGCTTGGGGTTGGAGAATGAGCAAAAACAGGAAGCCGCCAAGGTCCCGGGTCTGCTCACCTGCTTGGAGTCCAGAATCTTGAAGAGTGGGAAAAGCAGCACAGGGATGAGGGAAGTGACAGCCAGAGGGATGACTTCGGAGCACCAGTAAACGGCCATGAGGATGATGACATAGGCACACCTGACAAACTGCGAGAAGCTCTGAGCCAGGCCTGCTGCTGCCCCATCCCCACCCCGAGCCGTTGACTGCCAAGACAGGGTGATCACTTCGAGGAAGTTCCCCAGTGCCCCCTGCCTCCCCGCCCCTGTTGGCACAGCCTTCGGGTTCTGGACAGTGAAGAGGACACAGACATACCCAGAGACTCCTGCCCCCACCTCCCAGCTGTGTGGTCCAGGGCTCACCTCTCCCTGGGGAAGAGGAAGGGGAAGAGGACATGGAAGAAGGGGCCGGAACAGGAGGAGTGGGAGTTGGGAAGGAGGGAAAAGAGAAAAAGGGGGGGAGGCGAAGGAAGAAGGAAGGAAAAGGAGGTAAAGAAGAGTATCACGGTTCTAAGAATTAAAATCACTTTGCAACATAAGTGCAATTCTTGTCCATTGGGCAAATGAAGTGTGATTTTCTCCAGGGTCTTGTTCAGTCCTACTTCCTTTCATCCAGATGTTCTCATTGGGGTTTTTTGTTGGTTTTGTTTTCATGTGGCTCCGTAATCTCCAGTATGATCTTTTTTAAAACTGATCTTTCATAAATTTGGCAGAGGGATCACTCCTTTGACCTTTTGCGGTAGAGTAAGTGTTGTTTCTTCTCTGGCACCCAAAGTGTGCTGTTTTGAATCCATTCAGAGAAGTGCAGCCTCCAGCTCCTGCTACCAGTTCCTAATTCCCTGCCCCCAGTAAGCCAGCTCATTCAGAACACTGCCTACATGGAGTATGCCCAGCACTGCTTTTATTATTTTTTAAAGATTTATTTATTTTAGGCCCTCCCTGGTGGCATAGCGGGTTAAAGCACTGCACTGTGAAGCTTAAGCCACTTCCGCATGAGTTCGATTCCTGCCTGCCTGGGAGGAGATCCACATGGCGTGGCAGACCTCTCCTGACCCGCCTGCTGCTCCCCTCAGCAGTGTACTTAGTCGATCTGCCTGTTCTGCTCCCCACTCTGTCTCTGGTGAATCCTCTCACCCTCCACATCTCTGGCCTGTACCCCAGCTCTGTATGAATAAATAAATAAATCTTTTAAAAAAAAAAGATGTATTTATTTTAGCATACAGAACTGGAGTACAGGCCAGAGGTCCAGGGGGGTGAGAGGATTCACCAGAGACAGAGTGGGGAGCAGAACAGGCAGAGCTACTGAAATACACTGCTGAGGGGAGCAGTGGGCAGGAGAGGTCTGCTGTGCCATGTGGGTCACCCCCCTGGCTGGGGCTTGATCTCGTGCTGCCATGGCTGCCAAGGCTTCATGGTGCTGGGCTTCCACCCTTTGCGCCACCAGTGAGGGCCCCCAGCACTTTTTTTAAATGACCATTGAGAAGATGATACTTGGTGCTTTCATTAGCATTTCTCTAGTTAACAAAGATTTCAAGCTTTGCTATTTGAGGTTAACCTTATGTGAGCTGCCTATTCCAGTCCCTTAGCCACTTAGCCCCTGGGACTTGGCTTCAAGGGGTCAGACCTGGGGTCCAAAGCAACTGCTTCTAGTCCTGGCCCCTTCCTTGTTTCAGGACTTGGGTCAACTACTTTAACCTCTCTGGTGCTCAATCTGGGCACCTATTAAAATGTGGATAATATCTACTTCCCGAGGTGGTTGTATATCTCATCAGCATTTTTATGACAATCATTATTATCTACACAGATTCTGTGGCCTCCCTCTTTCTGGGCCTTCCAATGAAACCAGTCATTGTATCTTCCATCCTGGGTGCTCCTGCCTTCACCCCATGGCCAAACCCTTGACCAGGCTGCAGCTCCACCACCAGCACCTATTTCATAATTGGGCCTTTCTGCTTGCATCACACTGTTGTTCCCCTCTCTCTTTTGCAAATTTGATGTCACTCCCTTATTTAAAAAAAAAAAAGTGCCTCAGGACAAAAAGTGCCAAAGACCTCCGCAGGGCTCAGGCTGCCCTCTGTCTCCACAGCATACTCTGTGCCCGGCTCCCTGCCAGTGTGCGTGCCTCCGCTGGGCTCTGGGTCCTCCCTGGGTCTGGTTGCAGCCTCCAGTTGGGTCTGTACCCTTCCTCTGTGCCACCCCCACCCTCTGCCGAATTAGCATACTAGGTTGTCACTACTTGTTCCTTTAACTGTCCCCCACCACGACCAAACACAGAACACTGGAGGACAGTGTTTGGGGGTTCTGATTCCTCAAGCCTCCAGCACAGGCCAGTATTGGAGCTGAAGACAGACAGTACCAGAATGTATGTAAGCTGCAAGCTGCCAATTTTGAATTGCAAGGAATTAAGAGACAGGAGGTCTAAGAATGATGGCTTTTGCCTAATTATCTACCGCCCTTAAAACAGGAGTTAAATCTTCCCCATGGAGACCCAGGAGGTAAGAGCTGGTCTTGCAGTCCTGCCGCCAGGCTGGGGCTTACTGAATCTGCTTCCCAAGCATTGGTAGCTAAGCCCTGCAAATCTTTTTCTGCAAGTTGCACTGTTCTTTGTTCTATTACTCCCTTCTACATGTACTGTTCCCTTTCTGGAGTCTCTGTGACCTAACTAGAACCTTCCATTAGTCTACACCTGGGCTTTGATGAATTGTGTATATGTGTAATTAGAGCTTGTCTTTTTTTTTTTTTTTTTTTTTTGCTAATCTCTTTTGTATCAGCTTAATTATTTCCCAGCAGTAAAAGAGTACAGGAAGATTGTCTTCCTTCTCAACACCAAGACTAGGACACGCTCAGCAAATATTTAGCAGCAAAAAAGACTAGCATAGCACAAGCTGTGAGGCAAAACCAACACACTGGAACGCTTTGCTTATCATCAACCCAAAGAGCGCAGTGTAGATCCTTGAAGCATTGCGTGAAGACCTGGAAAGTCTTTATAGAGTATATTATCAATCTTAAAAAATAAATCTTCCTTCCGCATCCCACACACCCGAGGACAACTCCCTATTGTCTAAAGCAGGACTTCTCAACCTTGACCCTTCGACACCTAGGGTGGGGGAGATATCCATATGATTTGTTGGAGGGCAGGAAGGGCAGGAGAGGCTATCCAGTCCAGTGTAAAATGCTTACCAGCACCCCGCCCTCTGTCCCCACCCCCCAGACCAGTAGCATCTTTCTAGTTGTGACAACAAAAAATGTGTTCAGACTGGACCAAATGCCCAATCATCCCAAATGGGTGGGATGGGGGGTTGCAGCATCAATGTGGATTGAAGCAGCAAGTACAGCAGGATAATGGTGTGTTTGGAAGAGCAGGCTTTGGACCACAAACTGATCAGTGTCCACTGTCCACCATTGTCTGGCAGACAGTGGCTAGCGCTTCCCTGGAGGCCTTGGTGTCAAGTGGAGGAGAGGTGGGAGCGATCCCTGCTGGGGGCAGGCAATAAGATAGGTGCATGGTGGAGAATATAAAAAACAGCAACATTGTTTAAAAAAATCATTCTTCCTTTACCGTGTGACAGTAATTCTCAGCTATGTCATTAATGAAAGGCTCCTCTTGCTCCCAGTTCCTGGTTCCTCTCCCCACTTGATTCATATCCTCCTCCTCAGATTGATGGTTTAAGAGTCCCCATTCTTGATGGATGACACAGAAAGTACTCGGTGATTTTTTTTATTATCTAAACTTAGAAACAGTAAGTGGCACACAAGCAAGCATGGCACATAGCTCCCACTAACCCTGACCAGGACAAAAGTGCAAGGCTCACTGCCCCTCACCCCAGACCACGATGAGGAGAGCCAGGAGAGACCCTATCCTAGAATAACACCTGGCAGCAAACTCGACCCTCCTTCACCTAGAGGTTCCCACAGTGCTGATGAGAAAGAGGACAGACAAGTGGGCAGGGCCAGAGCACCAGAGATGGGTTCTACCTGTGTGCATGCAGGAGTCGGTGCCCTGTGGGTAAATTCAGAACACCTGACTGCAGCTGAGAATGTGACAGGTAAAGCCCTTAAAACAGATAGGGCCTCCCTAGTGGCTCAGGGGTTAAAGTCTCAGCACTATGAAGCATTCAACAGCCACCTCAGCACTAGTTCATTCCCTGGCCAGGGAGCTGACCCACATGGCGTAGCAGACCTCTCCTGTCTCGCCCACTGCTCCCCTCAGCAGTGTATTTCAGGACATCTGCCCATTCTGCTCCCCACTCTGTCTCTAGACAGCCTCCTCTTCCTCACACACACCTCTGGCCTATATCCCAGTCCTTGTGTTCTTGTGTGCACAAATAAATATATCTTTTAAAAAAAGAAAATGGAGATAAAAGCAGATGATGGGATTTTAAAAGTCAGCACCAAACACAGCACTTTGTTCATGATGAGGCTTGATAAACATATCAAATGTACAGCTGAACAAATCCATGTATACTAACTAACAAATATGGGTGCCCTAATATGTTGTTTAATGAAAGCATGTAGGTAAGAGAACCTGTGTGTCTGTGTGTTTGTTTGTGTCTGTGTGTGTGTGTTGTGGGATTTGAGGGAATATTCATTTTGACTTCACAGATTTGCTTTTACAGACTTCAAAAATAACATTTTAAGAACAATTTGAATAAAATAAGCCATACATGTATCATTTATTGTATTGAAATGTCATTTTTTTAAAGTAGAAAAAGTGGAGCAGAGGTGATGTCAGAAGAAAAGCAAGGGACAGAGTCAGCACAAGCGAGATGACTGAGGAGTGGGGTGGGACTCCGCAGAGGGCAGCTGCCTGGGGAGCTGCCAGCTGGACAGCGCCACCCAGGCTGCCAAGGACTGCGGAGGGCTGCGCCCCAGATGGAACACCTCTGGGCTCCTTACACAACCAGCAGTGTGGCCACGGAAGCAAGGCCGGGCGCTCTTGGTGGACCCAGATAGAAGCGTGAAGAGAAAAACAAGACAGAGTTCCAGGATCCCAGTCACCTGACCCACGGGAGGGAACGCACTTTGGAATGATGTTCACTCACCATATCGCCTCCCGTGCCTGATTCTTGCTTCCAAGGCAGACTAGTGACACACATATACACCCCAAGTTGGAGGTGCCGGCTTATGTACAAGTGTGTGTGTGTGGGGGGGGGTATGTGGGCTCAGTCACACTCTCTGGACAGGAAGGTCAGCTAGGTCAGCTAAGCTACTATAATTATTCCAGGGGAACATCACTCCCCACCTGCAGAATTAAAATCACAGCCCTCCTTCTTAGCTCCCTCCCAGCCACAGTAACAACCCAAATCTCTTTCTACAGAGAGAATATGGCTGCTGACACCTCAGAGCCACCACAGCTGGATCTGCTGTCCTTAGCACACCGCATAGCTATACTCAGGCCACCCCAGGGCTCCACCCAGCAGCCCCCCCCCTTCCTCCATCCTAGGGACAGGCATAATTCCTTTTGGCACGCAAGTCCATAATGTGCCATAACCTTAAACCACCTTGACCCATTGTACAGAAGAGAACACTAAGGCCCAGAGAGAGCACAGAAAGGGACAGAAGGGGTTTGGCTAGAGTCACAGGGTGAGTGAAGAGTGGAAGTCCAGTTATCTTGTAGGTTGACTCCCTCAGTTTCTAGTACAAGCCCCCTCCTCCAGGTCTACTCCCCCAGAGGATCCCCTAAAGAGTTCCTCTTTCCCAAACCTGCCTGGAGGTTTCAGGGCAGAGGGGAAGTTTTCCTGTCTAAGCTGAGAGTGAAAGGGCTGAAAGGGAATGAAGAAGGCGCAGCCAGAAGCCACAAAAGGCTTCAAAGAGCTCGGGTCTCTGCCAAATAGGCTTCCCACTGCCCAGCTCAGCTCCCGGCCAGCGGGCATGGGGGCCCTGCCCCCACCCTATGGCCAAGGCCATTCATTCTCTCTCTCCCTCACTCCCAGAGGCCAGGGCATGGGACACCACTTCCCTGCAGCCCTGGGTCATGCCACCCAAGGCGTGAGCTCTGGGAACCTGTCCCGCCTCCTGCCACAGCCACAGCAGGCAGCGAACAAAACAGGCCAACCCCAGCCAGCCTGTCAATGGGCAGTGGGCAGTGGGATTTAGACTCAGCTGTGGCTTCCAGGCTTTAAGGGCTGGAATGAAATGTGATAGAGACACTGAGGCTCCAAAAAAGGACCAGAGAGTGTCAAAGATGGCACTCGGGACCCCCTTAGGTGATGGTCTTTCCCTGCAGATCCCTACATGGCTCTCAGAAACAGCTACAGCAGGATGCGCCCATTACCTTAAGAAAGAGGCTAGAGAGAGGCAGGGAAGACAGCACCCTGCTGGGGCAGGTGTCATTTGGGAGATGGGCTTGGGAGAGATGACATTAAACATTCTGGGAGATTCTGAGCAGCGCTGGCTGAGTCTAACTTGGGCTGGACCGCCAGGATCTGTGCTAACTTCTAACTTTCTGTGCTTGCCAGGATGGTCTTGCTCCCTAGATATGTGAACCCCAAGGTCAGAGAGTCCCGGGCCTTCGTGTCTCTCGGAATTCCTTGCAGGGTACCTCCTATCTGGCACCGGGAGCTCCTGAGTACTTGCCCCAGGGGACCTACGCCATGGAAAATCCGTGGGCTACAGCTCAATGGTCCCCAGCCGGTGCTCCCTATCGGGCACCAGGCGCTGAGGGTCGGTGGGGCTGCCCCGAGACGCAACTGACCTTGGCGGGCATCAGAATGATGAGTGGCAGCAGGAGTAGCGGGGTGACGAACAAGATCACGAAGGACTTGAACTTGAAAACATAGCTCAGCGCCGAGGCCATCGCGAGGGAGGGAGACTGGCGGGAGAGGCTAGTGAGGGGCAGCCCGAGGCTCAGCGGGCTTAAGAAGTGGCCGCAGTGGGGG